GAATTCCAGAGGATCATCAGTACCTACTTTGAGATACTATATGCCAATGATATAAAAAAAAGAAAAGAAATGGACAGATTCCTAGATACCTATGAATTACCAAAGTTGAACCAAAATATATAAAAATGCTAAACACCCCAATTACAATCAGTGAAATTGTAAAAGTATTTAGTAATTTACCAACAAGTAAAGCACAGGCCCTGATGGCTTCACTGGTAAATGACATTCAGTGAAGAATTATTGTCAATACTATTTAAAATCTCCAGTGAAATAGAAAGGGAAGCAATACTGCCAAATTCATTCCTGACAGTAAGCATCACTTTGATCCCAAAGCAGAGAAAGACCCAACAAAAACGAGAACTATAGGCTAATCTCAGTAATGAACATAGATGCAAATATCCTTAATATAACACTTGCAAACAGAATGCAGAAGATCATCAAGAAAATTATATATCCTGATGCAGTAGAACACATCCCAGAGATGCAGGGATGGCTCAGCATATGCAAATCAATAAATGGAATACACCACATTAATGGAACCAAGTACAGAAAACATATAATCATTTCAATGGCTTCAGATAAAGCATTAAAAAATCCAATATGGTTTCATAATAGAAATCTTACTAATAATTGGAATACACAGTCTTTACCTCAATCTGATAAATGCCATCTATGAAAAACCAACAGACAATGTAATACTAAATGGTGAAAAACTGAAATCCTTCACACTAAAATCAGGAACAAGACAACGATATCCACTCTCACCACACTTTTTTCAATACAGTTTTGAAAACATTTCCACAGCGAATAGACTAAAGAAAGAAACAAAAGGAATAAAGATAGGAAAGGAAAAAGTCATTTTTTCATTATTTGCACATAACATGGTACTCTATATATAAGACCTCAAGAACTCCAGAAAAAGTCTTCTAGATTTAACCAAATTCAGTGGAATAGCTGTGTAGGAAGTCATCACATAACCATCAATAGCTTTCTTGTACACTAACTACAGACTCACTGAAAGAGAAACTGGAGAAATAACCCCCTCCACAATAGCATCCGAAAAATTTAAATACCTAGGAATCAACCTAAGGAAAGAAATTGAAGACCTCTACTCTGGAATCTGTGGCACTCTATAAAAAGAGATTGACAAGAATATCACAAATTGGAAAGACATCCTTTGCTCCTTGGTAGGAAGAACCAACATAGTGAAAATTGCAATACTTCCAAATCTGCTATATAGATTCAGTGCAATCTGAATTGTAATTCCAACAGCATACTTCACAGACTTTGAGAAACAATTAAAAAATTCATTTGCAACAAAAAGAGTTCTAGAATAGCAAATGCAACTCTAGTCAATAAAGACAAAGTAGGGGGTACCACAATCCCCAACTTGAAATTATACCACAAGACTACTGTGTTAAAAACAGCATGGAACGGGCAAAGAAAAGGACCTGAGGATTAATGGAACTCATGAGAACTTGCAGAAGCAACTGCAGACACACTCAGCCACCTCATCTGTAATAAAGGAAACAAAAGCCCTCACTGGATGAATGATAGTCTCTTTAATAAATGGTGCTGAAAAAAATTGGTTTTCAACTTGCCAAAGATTAAAACTAGATCTCTGTCACTCACCATACACTAAACTAAAATCAAAAGGGATTCAACAATTAAATGTTAAAACAGAAACAGTAAACCAACTGGAAGATTGATTAGGTAGAAGTCTTGAAGACATTGTCATAGAAAAAGATTTCATGAATAAAACCTCAGTTGGTCTTGAACTAGCACAAACAATCAACAAGTTGGATCTCTTCTTATTTAAAAGCCTCTGCACAAAGAGAGAAAACACCAATAGTGTTTGACAACCCACAGTGTGGGAAAAAAATTTTCACTTGCTGTTCCTCAAACAATGGTCTACTATCTAGAATATGTAAAGAACTTTAAAAAAAAGTACCTACCAAATTTAAAGACCCAATTCAAACCTGGGCATACGAAGTAAAGAGACCTATCTGAGACAAAGAGGTACCAATAGCAAACAAAAATATAAATAAAAAAAATTATCAACATCACTGGTCATTGGAGAGATACAAATGAAAACAATGTTGAAATTCCACCTCTTCCCAGAAAGATGACTACTATCATGAAATCAAGCAATAACAAGTGCTGGCTGGACTGTGAGGACAAAGGAACCCTGCTTCACCGACGTTGGTAATGTAGACTGATACAACAGCTGTGGAAATCATTTATGGCGATACCTCAAAGAAATGTGATTGGAAGTTCCCCTTGACCTAGATATTCCTCTAGTGGGTATTATATCAAGAGAATGAAAAGAATCATACTACATTGATATATGTTCACCTGTACTTATAGCATCACAGTTTGTAATAACTTTATAAAACCATGAGATCCCAAATATTTATGCTTTGTGCTTCCCATACTACTGAAAATTTGTTCATAAAGTCTTTTATTATGCCTATATCTCCAAGCATTCTACCTAAATTATCTTCCAGCATGTTTAGTGTTTCTGTTTTAATATTTATATATTTAATCCACTTGAATTTTAGTTTAGTGCATGGTGAAATATATGGGTCTAGTTTTAATCCTTGACAAATTGAAATCCATTTATTCCAACACCATTTATTAAAGAAGCTATCTTTTCTCCGGGGAGGATGGTTGCCTCCTTTGTAGAAGATAAGGTGACTAAACATGTGAGGACTTGTTTCTGCATCTTCTAATCTGTTCCACTGCTCTTCAGGTCTGTTTCTTTGCCAGTAAAATGCTGCTTTTTTGTTTTGTTTTGTTTTTTTAATCACAGTGGCTTTGTACTACAGTTTCAACTTGGGGATTGTGATACCCTCTGCATTATTTCTGAGGCCAAGAAATGCTTTTGCTATTCTAGGTCTCTTCTACATACCAGTCAATTTTGATATTGTTTTCTCCAATTATGTGAAATATACTGTTGAAATTTCCATTGAGATTGCAATGAACTGGTGTAGCAATTTTGGAAGTATGGTCATTTTCACTATATCGATTCTTTCTACCAAGGAACAAGGGGTTTCCTTCCACTTTCTTACATCCTCTTCATTCTCTTTTTTCAAAGTGTTTTAGTTCTCAATGTAGAGGTCTTTTATTTCCTTTGTTAGATTGATTCCTGCATATTTAATTTTTTGAATTCTTTCATGAAAGGGACTGTTTCTCTAATTGCACTCTCAGTAAATCTGTTATTTCTGCACAAGATGGTTATTGATATTTGAGTGTTTACCTATTATCAATCTACATTACTGAATCTGTAAATTAAATCTAGAAATCTTGTGGAGTTTTTTGGGTCTACTATGCAGAAGATCTATGGGACAAAATGAAATCAGTTCTATGAGGGAAAGGTATATCACCGAATGCCCACACTTATAAACAACCTAAGGCTGCATCTAAAGCTTTCAGAAAAAGAAGAGCAAGACAAACCAAATGCTTATCTAAGGGAGGATCTTATAAAGATCAGAGCAGAAATCAATGCAATGGAGACTAAGAGAAAAATACAAAAAAATTAACGAATCAGACTTGATTATTCAAAACAATAAATATAATCAATGAACCCAGAGCCAACCTTATCAAGAACAAAAAATGAAAGAAAAGGCTCAAATTCATGCCTTTGCAGTGTAGATGAGGAAGAAGTGTGCACAGGAAACCAGAGATGGGGGGTGGTTGGGTTCAGTACATGGAGATGCCACGAGGTTCTGGACCTCACCTGTCTGCTAGTGGAGAGAAGGCCTGAGTGGGGGAGGGGCTTGCCTAGTTTACATATATTAAAGGCATTAAAACAGGATTAAGGGGAGGAAAGCATGGTAAAAGAAGTCCAAGAAGGAAAGAAATACACTCCACAGAGTGCAGGGCTGGCAAGGCAAAATAATGACCTTCAATTCTCATGTGCGTAGTGCTAGTTTCTTTCCTCAGCAGCTATAGAAACTCAACTCAAAAGGACAAAGAATACTCCTAATACAAACAAAATTTCAGGAAAGAATGAAAACAGAAACAAAGTAGAAGGCAAAAGCAAAAATTAGATATTTGCATACTTTATACATGTTTTAGTTTTTGCATAGTTCTTCTACAGTTTTTATTTGTATTGTGTTCCACCTATTTTTCCAAACCTCTACTTTCAAAATATGTATTAAGATGATCAGTGTCCATTGTTTACAAATCCCTGGGTAACACTTGAGCTGATGTAAATCCTCTCAGATCAGCTCTCTGCCTCCTGAGGAGAGCTGGCCCTGGGGGATCCATCACCTTTGGATCCACACAGCCAATCTGAGTGACACTCATCCAGCATTCTTTGTCCAAGCTCAATAAGTGGAACACTGAAAATGCATGGGGAGGTGTCATCACTCACTTACCTGATGGAGAACATATGAGGCTTATGCTGTAATTTGTTTTTGCCAGAGATTCTGTTACATTACATTTGAAAAAGGAAAGGATGGTGTCCCTGCGCTCAGGTGTATGCTTGACAATGTGTTCAACTTTCTTATTTATGATCTGTCACACTAAGCAGATGAGCTTGAAGGGCAACATGATTGAAGACTGTGTCAAGGACTCTAAAGTCAGTTCATGTTTGTGTCCTAACAATATTTAGATGGATTAGTAAATGCATACTATTTGGTGCATGGCAGTTACAGGAGTCCTTGTGTCATCTGTGAAAATGTTGTGAGAGGTAGACCATAGAATGTGGCTGCCTTCTAAAGAGTTCTGGAAATACATTCTTTTTATAGCATGAGCATAGTGATTAATCATAATCTAAAACTTTTATTTTGTTATATATTTCTTAGTTTTCTCATAAATAAAAAGAAACTGACAAGATGACTGACAAGTTATTCGCAATACAAAAACATCAGTTTTTATTAAGAAGAGACACCTAACCTTTATACATAAGTATTCCTTAAGAAGATATGGGTCCACATTATCATTTAAAGGATGAATCATTACAAGACATTTCAGAAAGAGGAGTGAATATGGGACTAGCAGGTGCCTTTGTTGTCAGTTTTGCACTTCAAAATTGAGATAAGAAATTTAATCCTTTTTGCATCACGGGAAAAGCAGAGGAGTGTGTTATAAACAGTAAACAGGTGAGTTTGTTCATCAGATGATTTCAAGGATTCCATGTCTGACCACAAAGCAAACTCCACTTCGCCTGGGACGTCAATATCAAGCTAGACATCAAAAATACAATCCCTGTTAGTAAAGTTAGTAATATTTGTGTATCCATTCTTAAAATTGTTAAGTTGAGATTTGGAAATGAATGAAAATTTAAAACTTTAGTGAAAGCATACATTTTTACATATCCTGACAAGAATATCATAAAGTTATCTGTCAGCTAAAAGCTAGAAGCAGAACACAGGACCAGATTTTCTGACATACAGGTGATCCTGGGGGATTTATGGTCCTAGAAGTGTAGACAAGGGAAGAAGCAGAAAGTTACTACTTGTGTATAGACGTAGATTTGAGCAAGGAAACATATTGTATAGAGGCTCACTTCCATTCGGGTGCTTAAGAAACTTTGACATTTCCTCCTGAGGTTCCATTTGTATTCCATTTCTACTGATAGCCAAGCTTTTATTTTTTGTGGCTTTGAGCTGAATGTATTTGAAATAATGTGTCAGCAATGATAATGTACAGATTCTGAGTTCTGCATTTAGTTCATTTCGGTGCTGACAATGAAGTCAAGAGTAACACAGAATTTCACATGCATCACTTCACCCCAAAAAGTATCTTCCAACTACATGGGAAAGGGGGGCCTCCTTTTGAGTTGCATGGAGTGGGAACAGTTTGGAGAAGCATGCATAAGAGGGAGGGTGCAGCAAGCCCATGGTGAGGGCTGTGCTGTGGGTGGGGGAAACTGGGCTTCAGGAAAGTGCTGCACACAGCAGAAAAGAGCTGTGGGCCCTGTGCCCTCCAAGGGCATCTGCAAGCTGGGAGACCTTCAGATCCCAGAGACCCAATCTCACTGCCTCTGAAGGCATCAGCTAATTTCCAGAGCGATGAGATACAAGACTGGGGTAATTGTAGACCCTAATCTGCCAAGCTTTCTCCCAGATAGTAAATATGTTTTATTGAAAATTGAAGCATGTGACCTTATAGTTTATCTGGGTTTCTCTTTTTTCTTTAAGGCTTGAACCTAAGGACAACATTTCATACAAAAATGCTAATATATGCACCATGTTATGGAAGCTGGGAAAAAAGTACAAAAAACAATGAATTTTAGAACAAATTAGTGAATTCAAGAAGTATGCTCACCATAATAAAGAAAATAACATGCAATTAGGTGTTCCTTTCTTATGTTCCTTAGAATGAAAAGAATAAAGAAGGAACAAATAGAAAGAAAACTTCTGTACATAGGGAGGGGTGGACAGGTGTAAGGGAAGGAAGGGGAATATAAAAAAAAACAAGAACTAAGATATATCATCATCTAAGGATACAAAATCCAAATGATGAATATGTTCATAATGAAATTGTAAAATGTACCAACAAACATAAACTCTTTATTTTTATTTTTTGGAGTCAGGCTTTTTCGATAAAAGTACCCAATATGACTGGTAGTTAGGGAGGGAAAAGAAATATACAATTGCATCTATTATCACTTCTAAAATCATACATCTAAATAATACATTTTATTTTGAGAACATTAGAAATGTACTTCTGTGTTGTCTCACTAAAATGGGAATGTTTTAAATGAATGGAGATAAACAGTGAAAATATCAATTAAATCTAGGTATGACAAATGATTTCTGAAACTAGATTATATGACATATTCATTTAGAAACAGCAAGGACACTGAAACTTATAATGAATTTCCATGAACTGTAAAATAAGGAACACTCCAGTATAGAACCAGCTCTTCCTTGTCAGTGCTCCAACCTCTGGTGCTTGAGGGAGATCACTCGTGATATGGCTTCCTCAGCCTACTCTGGCTAGGGTGCAGGGAAGCCCTCCCTATATGATCCAGATGTTTTTCTCTTTCCCTTCCCACTCATCCTCTGATGTGAGAATAAAGAAATCCCTGTTGGTAGTTCCGAGATACTCTGAAGCAAACATTTCCAGTGAAGATGTTCTGCTAGAATTTTCCTTCCTGAAAAATGTTTAAGCATAGACCCCATAAAGGGACAGCCCTTGGGGACACTGCAAGGAAAAGAGACCTTGTTGGGACTGCAAAAAATTGTTTACATTAGAACCCACTGTGGTTGGCAAAGGCTATCAAAATTCTCGGCATTAAATTGGAACATTTAGGCTCAGTGTTGTCCATGCAAGTGAAGACTTCCAACATGTTTCAGATCACAGGTACAAATTCAATGAAAAAAGCAAGGAAACATCAAAAGGCTGCTCACCGTGCTAGCTATTTGAACCATGATTTCTTTCAGTTGTTCATATTTGAAAGAAATACCCCTATATTTGATTGAGAAAAAAGCACCCAATTTTGGCAGGCGATGTGCTTCCTGGGCAATGTGCTTCAGGGGTTCCTTCCAGGAGTTCAGCAAGAGGATTACGGCATTGAGAAGGTCTTTGTGCTATGCAGTCAGTATAGAAAAATCACAGTAAATTAAATTAAACACAGCTGGGTTAGTTTATGAGATTTTTGCTAAGAGAGTTGGTGGTAACATATGACTTTTTTTTGTATTTAAATTTTTCTGTAGATGGTAGAAGATTGAAGAACACAATTAAAAATTTGGCTTACACTCTGCTTCAGTAACGCTAACAAAATTTGATTATTAAAATAATTCCTTTTTTGTAATGAATACAATTCAATGTTTTTTTCCCTCTGAAATTCTCTCCATTTATTTACAATAATGTTAAAGCCACATTTCTGTGGGGGATTCAGAAGAGACAGGTTATAACCTTAAATATTAGGGCCTAGACAAATGATTAAAACTGAATGTGGAGAGTATGTTATTATCAGAACAGCGACCAGAATTGCATCTCTGAGAAAGGAGACACAGAATAGCACAGGATAAGCCCAGCAGGAGGACTTTCTTTTGAGGCAAAGGAGGAGGCAGCAGGTGAGTGCAGAGTGAGGAACTTGCCATCACAGAAGCAAAAGCAGGAGAAGAATGAGGAGAGTGTTGGGAGTCCAGGAGAAAAGGTGCAGATAGGAAAGGGGTCACTAATGTAAACACCACAAATGCAGGAGTCTCAGTAACTGTGATTAATAAGGATGAATCTGCACATCTTCCATGTGTACCTGACTATTCAATTCAGCTCCAATTCAAGGACCATACTATATTCAACACTAGTTACACAGCAAACAAACAAAAAGAAAGCAATATGATCTGCCCGGTCAGTTTTGTGTTCTGGTACAATCAACATTTACCCTTGCATTTTGAATATAGTTCACCTACTGTGAAGAGCACTGTTTCTTTGAAGGCTTGCTCTTCTCCCCTTTTCCCTGCAGGTGTGACTGCTGCTATAAAGAGCCTTGTAGCACCTGGAGCATGGCAGAGCCAGTTGCTGGCTCAGCTGTTCTGGTGGAGCAGGGCTAGAGACTAACCTGCATCCACCTGGCCATCTCCCTTTCAGATGGAGTGAGGATATCATCTGTATGGCACCTTTGTATAGCTGGCAAGAAGTAGTCTGAGCCCAGAGAATACACACTTTCCTGAAAATGATGAAGAGATAAAATTTCATTACTATGGATTAGCAAGGTGAAAACACGAATCCATTAATAAAATGTGAATATATGTGGTGAATGTGCAATTTTTTTAAAAGGTGAGATCTGAATAAATATTGCAACTAAGCAATTAAGAAAGTAACCACTGAGCCTGGTAGCTGTGTCATCTTCCTAAGTTCAACTCATTTTCTGATGTCTCCACCTTTCTACTTCATTGCTGCACCTTTGTCCTCTCACCCTTGCTAGAGGTCACACTTTGAAATGCAAAACAAAAAGTTATAAAAACTGCAAATCTGTAAGTACTGTAGTTCTCACTTTCTCTAGTGTCTCAGTTCAACCCATCCTGCTTATGCATCTGTAGCTACCTACCTAACCTCTTTTTAATCTGGTCCAAAGTGATATTCGTTCTTTAAATAGAGATTAATAATTGTGTTTTTCAATTATTTTTTAGTCCATAAACCTGAATATTCCCAAGTTTTCATAAATTCTAACTTTTTTTTTAATGTGGCACAGAATAAAATGGAACAAAATACCAGGGGAAATTTTAAATAATACATAGAAATAATAATCGAAGAGAAATACAGTCAGTAGCATTAAGCCAAAGATGTGAAGGTTTAAAGGCATTGACAGGATGATTTGGAAGGCACCACATGGCCATTTGAAATGGGCAATGAATGAAACAAGCATGAATAAAAAGCACTGTTTGAACATATGCATGTAACACAAATGCTGGGCCACATTTTCTATGGAAGTCTTTGGTTGTTCTCAACCCTAATCTGCTGTCTGAAACAGGAGAGAGAAGAATATTCCAAGTACCTATGGAAGGAGTGAACTTCAGTGCTCTTCTAATGTAGTCTTTTTCTTCTAATTATACACTCCACACTGGAAATCTTTGAACAAATAACTCAAGCTTTTGGTGATTTCTAAAGGCTATTAATTTGGGACTTAATTCCTCTGAGAGGATTTCCATTTATTTAATTCTACTCAGTCCACCCAAAGCACTGCAAAGTGGTTCTCACTTCTCAGATATCTGCCTTGCACTCAGTGAAGGATGCCCATGGACAGTCCCCTCTGTGCAAGAGCGAGAAATAGTGCTCTTCTTCAGTCTTGCTTAAAAGCAATGTCAGATAATTAAAATCATAAAATTATGTGCAATAATATCAAATTTTTAAAAAAATCATTACTTCTTTTACAATCTATGATTTCATAAGACATACTCTTCCTCCTTTTTCTAAAATTAATGGCTGGTGATTTTTAAAGTCATATTAATACATATGATTAGATATTTTCCTGCTGAGTTACTCAATTTCATATTATAATGTAGATCAATCATGGGTGGAATTTCTCTATATGGAAAGACAGAAAAAGTGAGATACTTACAAATCTCAGGAGCTGTTCTAAAGCCTGGAAGTACATGGATGAAGATGCATAGGCTGCAATATCATTCAGGTCTTGGACAATCACCTGACAGCCAGCTCCCCTGACACAGGTGGGACGAGATGCCACAGTGTGGAACAGGACCTGGCCTGACACCAGCAGCAGGAGAAGGGGCCCTGCTTAAACAAAACCACAGTTAGGATGATCTATATGGTGAGTTCATCACAAGCCTGACTGCCCAGGGAAGCCTTGTCTATGGCCTCTGCCTCCAAGACATGGATTACTGCTCAACAGACTCAGATTATAAAAATACAATACCCTCATATACCTGCCCGTGGGTGAGTTGCATATACACAGTCTGAGAGGCAGATGACTCCTGCATTTTCATTTCACTCCCACAACTACATCTGTGACACGGAAACACGAGGAAATTAAATTAAATCTGATTTAAGATTTTTTGTATTTTTTTCATTGAGTTTATTGGTACCTTTTAGGTATACAGTACAGATACATTCATTGATAGGAAAATGGATGCACATTAAGTCCATAGCCTTAAGTGAAATAAAGAAGACACACATGCAAATGCCAAGAAGTTTCTCTGGTGTGAAAAACTAAAAGTGTAAACAAGATCCAAGGGGAGAATGACAATGTGCAAGAGGCAGAAAATGGCTAAAGGTGATTTAAGATTTTTATAGCAGTATTATAAAATATTTTATTATCTTTGGGATGTCTGAAGCAGATCAACACTAAGATTCTAGAAGAGATCATAATTTTTAAAGTCATAAGCAGATATAAGCATCTTAAGCAGTTACATGAGAACATCACATTGAACTGTATATTTCCTCTTCAACATCACAGTGTATCTGAAGGTTTCATCTTTGTGCTTCATAAGAAGAAACACAGGGCTGCTTGCTTGATGACACTGGGTATGAGGTGAGTCCTGGACAAAAGTGGTGCCATGGCTTGGATCTCCTAACTCACCTTAATACCATGCAACTGCTTCCAACTTTGACAGTCATATTAGACATTCTTCCAGATTTGAGCTTTATTGTATTCCTTGCAGACCAACTGGGGCTGCATAACACTCATCATATGTCTCGAAACATAAGGTTTAGAACAGTTACATTATTTTTTCCTGAGTCCTATTCTTGGCAGGCAGAGGAGGCAGAACACCCATGCTATGGACCTTTCACTTCAATCACCTCCTCCCATCCTTCAGAGGACCATGGTAGTCATTATCCCCACAGCAGGCTGTGAAAAGTCAACCCCACAGCTGGCTTGTTTACAGAAGTGAATCTGGCCAAGCCTACGTGCTGAGGTCAGAGGAACTCCCACCCAAATTCTGTACCCACAACTAAAACCTTCAAACTGAAGAACAATGTTCTAATTAGGATCATATATTTTTGTTGACTTTGTTCCTAGTTTAAGAATGCTTTGTCTTGTCCTTTCTGAGCCTTTTTTACATAAATTTTTTATAGAAACCATACCTTATCTTCATCCCAATTGATGTGCAATAAAAGTCAGCTGCCCAGGTGTGGGCTGGGACCTGACTGCAGGAGAACCACTCTAACTATGGCCTGCTCATGTCTGGACTCTTAGTCTGCATCTCTGCAGCAAGGAAAACATCTGTAGTCATGGGGCTCAGTGTGTGCAGAGGTGATCATCATTCTTGAAAAGAGCAACACTGTGTTTGTAGTAGGAAAATGGGGCCCCTGAGGATAAAAAAGATCTACTTTTTCTGTTCTATAAAATATCACTTTCAAAATCTTTGCTGGCCTGGGGATTTAGTTCA